CAATTGGAGTGTGAATGAGCCTCAGTAGTACGAGCGCGTCTCTGCGCATGACCCTGGGTCCTCCTGGGGCCTCCTGGGGCCTCCTGGGGACCTACTGGGGCTTCTTGGGGCCTCCAGGAGCCTCTTTGGGCCCCCTGGGGCCTCCTGGGACCTCCTAGGGAGGATTCGTGCCCGAGGAGAGGCCCAATCTATAGCAACAGTCGCACATAAAACATTGCGACTTGGAGCCGCAGAAAAAAGGGGCAATCTATAGGAACACGCGTACAACACCAAGGAGTCGTGCCCTAGGAGAGGCCCTATAGGAACATAAGTACACAGGATATGGACAATCTATAAAAACATACGTATAACATCAAGGATTCGTGCCCCAGGCGAGGCCCAATATATGAGAGCATACGTAAAACACATGGGATTGGACCCACCCCTGTTGCCTTCTGAGGCCTCCTGCTCCTGGGGCCTCTCGGGGCCTCCTGTTGCCCTCCGGAGACCTCCTGGCGCTTCCTCTGGCCTCCTGGGGCCTCCTGTGGCTTCCTGAAGCCTCCAGGAGCTTCCTGGGGCCTCCTAGAGCCTCTTGGGGCATCCTGTGGCCTCTTGGGTCTTTCTGTGGCATCCTGATTCATCCTGGGACCTCATGTGGTCTCCTGGGGCCTCTTGGAACCTGTTGGAGCCTCCTGTGGCAACCCCAGGAAAACCAGCGCCCACGAGTCTGGCCACCGATCGAGACATCCTCAAAATCTGGCCCACCTGGGGGGGTGAAATGGAGCGCCTCGCTCGAGACATCCTCCAAATCTACTCCGAGAGCGAAGGATGCTGGGACAGAAAGCAAGCACGACGCTTGAGACATCCCCACAAAACGGTTGCGAACGGGACCGTGAGAGAACCATTGGCGGCTCCCCTTAGGGTGGTGAAAATGAGCGACCCCACCAGTCCTCCTGCCAAGGGAACCTGGCTGTGGTTTTCGGCGACGCACCAGCGCCCTTGGCTAACAGCGTTGCGACGCACGCGCTGCATTACGCGGAAGTAGTAAGATGATGTGTTTCTGACATGATGCGTGGGCGCGCACGGCGCGGGCCTACATGGCGCGTCGAAGGCGCCTGACACACGCCCGCGATACGATTCACGACCGAAATCGGAAAATTAGCTCCGGCGGCGCACATGCGGTGGGACACGCGTGCGTTCGGCATCACCCGCGCGAGGTGGCTAACAATTTCGCGGCGTTGCGCTAGAAATGCCATTGCGCCCAACATCGTTTCGAAGCGCGCTGCGGTGCGCCGCGCAAACGCGCGTGGACTGCGGCCTGCATGCGGCCCGCGCACTAGTACGAACGATTGAATCTGAAAGGGCAAGGCGCGGCACGTGCGCCATGAAAACGCGGCACACGGCAGAAGCAGTTACGAGAAGGAAACTCGCGCGATTCGCGTGCCTCCGTCGACCGAAATCGCTAAATCAGGGCAAGCGATCGGCGACGACCGCGTTTGACGCCACCAATAAATACATGAAAAAATGCAAAAACAAATTTGTCGAGGCCCTCGTTTTGTTTCCTGGTGGGCGCAACACCTGACATGTCCACGGATCCTGGCAAGGGAGCCAGGGTCCAAGGTGCTGTCTATGGGACCGGAATCTGCGCGGCCTCCGAACTGGCCGATGCTGCCGCTGCCCCGCGGCGATGACGCGATGCCTTGCGGGCACCTGGCACGGATGCGGCACTCGCTCGTGCGGATGCTACGCGTCATGGCGTTCCAGTCGTAGCCTGCAGGGTTGCGGCGCCTGCCCATCCCTCTGCCTGGCAAGCGTTCGCGATCGCTGTATTTTTTACACCCCAAGGAAATCTAATCTCCTTGAGCGTATGAGAAACTCAACGGGAGCGGGTGCCATTGGCAATATTGGGCTTTTGCCGTTGCCTCCGCTGGAGAAGGCGCTGCTGATTGTCTGGGTGAACCGACGCACCTGGCGAGTAGAGCGTTGCATGCGTCTGCGCGATTGACGTTGGGCAGTCTTCATCAGCCATGGAAGGACAAATCGGTCTGGGCAATGCTGGGACCTTGGGCCCCTGGCCCCTCGGCACTCGACCTCTCCGCCTGGGCCCGAGCGGGCGTCCGAAGAAAATCCTCCGACGTAGTCGGCCCTTCTGCGGGCGCCCACGCGGCGGCGGGATAGACGCCCCCCCGGAGCGGCGCGGCGCTCTGCGAAGGGCCAGCAGCGCGCGCCATGGCGCCGCCGGCCCCCCCAAGCTCGGCAGCGCTGGCAGCCCAGGGGCCGATGCCCTGAATGTGGGAGGGGCCCTCGCATGTGTCCTTGCTGTTGTCATGGATCATGCCCGCGGAACTCCGGAGGATGGCGTCGCTCGAAGAGCGCTGGCAATGTTGTTTGGCGAGTGTTCCACGGCGTGACCCACGCGCCTGAGCATAGTCGTGAAACTGTGAGAGAGCGTGATCCACCGCCGCTTTACTATGGAAAATTGCCGCCTTTTTCCTCCGGAACCCGAGGGAACCCCCCCCCCTTCCCCCCCCTTCCCGAAATCCCCCCCCCCTGCTGACCCCCCCCCCTCCCCCAGCCCCCCCCCCCATCCCCCTCCCCCCCCCCTCCCCCCCCCCTTCGAAACCGATGGGAGGCCACTACCGGTTCCTCCCCCCTCTCGAAAACTGGAAGGGGGGCCACTGCCGGTTCGAATCCCCCCCCCCGCCCACTCACCGCCAGCAAACGACTCCCGGCCCCTACCACCGTCCGCATCACATCCCCCGCTGTTGTTCCCAGCACCACTGTCCTCACCACCACTGTCCCCGCTGGTTCCACCACCGTCCCTACTGTTCCCACCAGTGCCCCCACCACTGTCACACTGTCTCCACTGTTCCCGCCACTTTTCCCACCACGGTTCCACTCTCCCCACTTTCTCCACGGCCCCAACCACTGTCCGACTATCCCCACTGTCCCCACTGTCCCACTGACTCCAGCGCTGTCCCACTGAGCTGTCCCACTGTTCCCACCACTGTCCCCACTGCCCCCACCGCTGTCCCCGCTGTACCTCTGCCCCATTGTCCCACCGCCGTCCTCGCCACCGCCGTCACCACTGTCCCCGCCACCACTGTACCCTCCACTGTCCCACTGTTTCCACATCAATCCCACTGTCCCCGCACCGCTGTCCCCACCACCACCGCCCCCACCACTGTCCACTGCCCCCGCTGTTCCCACCGTTGCCCTCACCACTGTCCCCGCCACTACCGTCCCCACCACTGTCCCGCTGCCCCCACCACTGTCCCGCTGTCCCCTCGCCACTGTCCCCGCCATCACCGCCCCCGCCGCTGTCCGCGCCCCCACTCGGTTTTCGGGGGGGGGGGTCGAACCGGCAATGGCCCCCCCCGGTTTTCGAAGGGGGGAAGGGGGGGTTCGAACCGGCAAAGACCCCCCGCCCCCCTTTTTCATGATGACCGGGGGGGGGGGAGGGGTTCGAATCGGTAGTGACTCCGCCCGGTTTTCCGGACGGGGGGGAGGGGTTCGAACCGGCAGTGACCCCCCCCGGTTTTCCGCCAGCAGCGGTAGAACACGCTCTTTCGAAACTGCTGAACTCGGCCCCCGTGGATGGGCACCGGTTGCCGCAGGGCTGGAGCAGCACCATGAAAGGTCTAGCTATGACGCCGACCGATCGGAGCAGCCAGCTGCAGCCGCCCAAGACATCACAGCTTCACCGCCGTGCGCCACTCGAAATCGCAGGGCGAAGAACTGCGAGAGCAACGCGGCGGTGGTTGTGTTATGGCGCCTCAAAAACTCGACGAGGTCGAGGGTCGCCGAGAGGCGTGACCCATCACCGAGTGGACCGAGATGCGTGGCGAGGTTCGCGATGAGGTAGGTCACGGCGTCATCTGGCTGGCCGTTGGCAATGCCTCCCTCCGTCATCTCCGCGAAGCTCATGGAGCGCGTTAGCGCGCGAGCGGCCCCACCGATGTTGAGGATGACGGCAACGCAATGTTGGGCACTGTCCATGTCATTGGCTATCACGCTCCAAGCGAGGAAGTCTTGTACCAGGTGGCGAAAGAGATACACGGGCTCGAGCCGGGGTGACCATGAGGGCGTCTGGCGGGAATGGATCGCGCCGCGGCCGCCGCCGCCTTTTGGGACGGCTTCACCGGGCATCATTCTGGTGAGCCAGAACAGGAGAGCCACGAAAAACACGAGGATGCTGCCCCAGAGCGTCAAGATGGACAGCCTCCTCAATAAAACCTCGCCACGATTATGGTTGCGGAGGCGCCTTGGGACTCGGGCCTGCGCAGGGACGAACGCAATGTCGAAGTGCGGGGCAGCCATGATGATCCCCTCCATCTCGGTCGAAGCCTAAGTCGGTGAAGCTGGTGCGTTTGCCTTTAGTGCTCCACTCGGGTGGCGCGCTGTGCTCACAAGGACTGCCAGCACTATCGCACACGTGCCGAGTCACGGCGCTAGCCCAGGGAGGAGCCTCGCAGTCAGGCCCAACGCGAAGTTGCGGCCAGTGCCCGTGATGTTGCGATAGGTAGAGGAACGCCATGGCGCTCCCGTGGACGACTCGCTCCGTATCGTTGTTGTCCCTTCTGCTGATGCCCTCGCAACTGGACCAAACGTGCGGGGCGAATGGCTGGCTGGCTTGCAAAACAGCCATAAGCACATCAAGGGATGCAGGGAGGCACTGTTGCGGAAGCGGAGGTAAATGCGAATGTGCGTCCACACCGCACTTCGCGCCCGTTCCGTGGATCGCGAGCTGGGGTCGCTCCTTGCCTTGCTACCAACAAGAAATGCGGGGTTTGGAAGCTGCACGAAAGAACACATGGCGGCAATAGCATGATGCTTGCAGTGATTAGTTTCTCCATTCGTTATACAGGTACGCGCCTGGGCTTAAGCCAAACGGCGGCTGACCATCTTATTTGGATGCGAATGAGGAGAAAAAGAGGGGGAGGAGGAGGAGGAGGAGGAGGAGGAGGAGGAGGAGGAGGAGGAGGGGCACAGCGTAGAAAATGATGAGGAGGCAAGAGAAGGGTCGGCACACGTTGCACGAGGTAGCTAGGCGAAGGCGCTGCACAAGCAGCTGATGACGCGCGCCGAAGACGACGCTAACACGCGACGGAGTGGCCTCTCTGAGGACCTCCGCCGCCTCACATCCCCACACGCTTCCACTCCCCATCCAACCCATCCTCCTAACCTCCTCAACCTCCTCCACCTCCTCCTCCTCCTCATCATCATCATCCCCATCATCACCACCGACACCACCATCACAATCACCGTCACCGTCACCATGATCATCATCATCAGCAGCAGCAGCATCACCAGCATCATCATCATCATTACCAACATCGTCATCATCATCAGCAGCGTCATCAGCATTACCAGTAACATAATCAACATCATCATCATCATCATCATCATCATCATCATCATTTCACCGCCGTCAACAATAATAGCAGCATCCCTTTCATCCTCATGCCCATCATCATCATCACCATCATCATCATCATCATCATCAGCAGCATTATCACCATCAGCATCGGCGTCATGATCATCATCACAATCAGCATCGTCATCATCAGCATTGTCGTCGTCGTCGTTCTAATCACCATCACCAACAACATCAACATCATTATCATCATCAACATCATCGTCATCAGCATCCTCACGGTCACCGTCGCCATCATCATAGCCATCATCATCGGCATCAACATCATCATCAGCAGCATCATCCTCACCATAAGTATCACCATCAGCGGCATCATCATAATCTTCATGTTCATCATCATCATCATCATCACCGAATCGCCTTCATGATGAACATAATCAGCAGCAGCTTCTTCAACATCATCAGCATTGTCGTCACCAGCTGCATCAGACTCATCACCAGCATCATGATGATGATCATCATCATCAGCAGCATCATCACGGTCTTCATCGTCATCCCCATCCTCATCACCGTCATCAGCAGCAACACCATCATGATCATAGTCTGCAGCAGCAGCATCACGGCCACCATGATCATCCTCATCACCCTATCCTGAGAATCATCGCTGCCTTGATCGTTGTCATCGGCATCATCCTTATGATCATGATCACCCGCAGCATCAGCATACTCAGCATCATCAGCAGCCGCATCATCATCCTGATCCTCATCAATATCACCATCATCACCATCGTCATCGCCATCGTCATCGTCATCTCCATCATCATCATCATCATCCTCATCATCATCATCATCATCATCATCATCATCCTCAGCATCAGCATCACTATCAGCATCGCCATCGCCATCGCCATCGGCATCATCATCACGACCGCCACCACCATCAGCACCACCATCACCATCCCCATCACCATCACCGTCACCACCACCACCATCATCATCATCAGCATCATCATCATCAGCAGCATCAGCATCATCATCATCATCAGCATCACCAGCATCATCACCATCATCATCATCGTCGTCATCGCCATCATCATCCTCATCATCACCATGATCAGTATTCGCATCATCATCATGAGCAACAGCACCATCATCATCATCAGCAACATCAGCATCATCAACTTCATCATCAAAGGCATCATCATCATCAGCAGCAGCATCATCACCAGCATCGTCGTCATCATCATCAGCAGCATCAGCATCATCATCCTCATCATCCTCATCATCATCATCAGCATCATCAGCATCATCATCATCAGCATCATCAGAAGCATCATCATCCAGCTCCTGCTCATCCGCCTCCTCCTCCTTCTCCCCCTCCTCCTCCTGCTCTTCCTCCTCCTCCTCCTCATGCTCTTCCTCCTCCTCCTCGTCCACCTCCTCCTCCTGCTCCTCCTCCTCATCCTCCACCTGCCCTTCATCCTCCTCCTCCTCTCCCTCCTGCTCCCCCCTCCTCCTCCACCCTCCCTTCTCCTCCTGCTCTTCCTCCTCCTCATCATCATCAGCATCATCATCATGATCATCATCATCATCATCATCATCATCATCATCATCATCATCATCATCATCATCATCATCATCATCAGCATCAGCATCATCATCATCATCATCATCATCATCATCATCATCATCATCATCATCATCATCACATCAATCTCCATCATCATCATCCTCCTCCTCCTCCCTCCTTCTCTCCTCCGCAGCCTCTCCTCCATCCTCCATCCTCCTCCTGCTTTCCCTCTCCTCCTCCTCCACTCCTCCTCCTCCTCCTCCTCTCCTCCCCCCTCACCTCTCTCTCCTCCTCCCTCCGCCTTTCCTCCTCCTCCTCCTGCTCCTTCCTTCCTCCTCTCTCTCCTCCTCCTGCCTCTCCTCTCCTCCTCCTCCTCCTTCTCCTCCTCCTCCTCCTCCCTCCTGCTCTTTCCTCCTATCTCCTCTCCTCCTCCTCCTCCTCCTCCTCCTCCTCCTGCTCCTGCCCTCCTCCTCCTCCCCTCCCTCCTCCTCCTCCTCCTCCTCCTCCTCCTCCTCCTCCTCCTCCTCCTCCTCCTCCTCCTCCTCCTCCTCCTCCTCCCGTAGCCATTTTGGCTCAAGACGGAGCTTACCTCCCGTCCCGACTCCAGAGGCTCGAGGACCGAGGTGGAACGGCAGCCCGCCTCAGGCCAGGCTGCCTCGGTCCCAGGTTTCCAGCAACGCACTACCTCAGTTTCTTTCTTCTGCTGGTCGCCGCGGCGAACGGCCAGCACCCAGTCTCCCCGCAGCCATGGGAGGCTACAAGCAGTGGAAGAAATGCTACTGCCAGACGCCCAGCTGCTGGGGATGGACCTGGCAAGGGCAGGAGCATTGTTCTGAATGCGGACGCAGTTTCAAGCCTCAGCCTCATCACTCCCGTCCAGCAGGTCACAAATCGGCAGGACACGATGATGGTGGCAGCACCCAGCAGGCCCCCCGCAACAGGTGGTCTCGCAGCCGAGGTGCATCCCGTGGACATGAGGCTCAACAGCAGCAGGATCATGGTCCCAAGACGTCCCTCGCTCCTGAGGGCACCGACCCAGCCAAGGACGACGTGGCCATCTGCATCCAGGCTGTCAATTTTTGGAAGAAGACGGTCGGCCAAGAGGGGAAGCAGTACATCCAGGCCTGCGAAGACCTCCGCCTGGCCAAGACCAAGGCGCTCGAGGGCAAGTCGCTGGACGCCAAGACCCAGTCGCTGGCCGACCAGCTCCAGCGGCAGAAGCGCAGGCTCGAGTCGAAGAAGGGCGAAGTTGAGAAGAACCTCATCAGCCTGGACAAGGCCGCCGAGGTGTACGACAAGTCCGTGGAATCGTACAAGGAGCTGCTCGCCGAGGTCTCCCAGCTGGAGGCTCAGCACAGCGTGGCAGCGAAGGCAGCAGTGGCGGAGGCGGCGGCTCGCCTCAACGGCCCTGACAACAAAGAAGACACGACCTTGCTCAACTTTGTGGACAGTAGGTCCCCGCAGGGCCTGCCAGACCACATCAAGAAGGAGCTCGTGGAGGTCAACAAGAAGCTGGAGCAGGAGTGGCAGCAACACCAGCGGCAGCAGCAGCAGCAGCAGCCGCCGCAAGTGCTTCAACCTGGGGCGCCTGATAGTGGTGCTCAACCTGTTGCAGTCCAGACGCCCACTCCACCAGATCGACCTGGAGAAGGGCTCGGGCCTGCTACAGCCGCCATGGAGGATGACAGCCACCGTGGCGTCATTCGCAAGCACGCGGGGAACGGCGAGCACCTGGTCCTCTCCACCGCCACGGGCATCCATTGCCTCAGCGAGGAGGCCCAGGGGGCGCAGGACCGCCTCGCCAAGCGCCAGGCCCGCCTTGCCGCTGCTGCACCTGGCGGCACAGGCGCGGGTGAGGCTAAGCCGTTGGATGGGTAACAACCTCAGAATATGCACGTTCAATAGTAGCAGTTGGTCTGGAGTCCGTAAGTTCATGGTTTCCAAGGGGGCCAAGGAAATCCAGATCATCTGTTGCCAGGAGACGCGCATTCGGGAATCTGATCTGGTCAAAGAAACGGAGTGGTGTGCTAACAGGGGATGGTTAGCAATTTTGTCGCCAACTGTTTTGAGTACCAAGGGTTTTCCGTGTCAGGGTACTGGAGTACTAGTACGTTCTGGCCTAGATCTTGGAATTACCAAGCTACCTCTTCCTGAAGGTTTCCAGAAGTCTCGGGCTACTGTCGTCAGCATTGAGGCTCCAGGTCACCAACCTTTCTGTTTAGGATCGCTGTATCTGGCCGACTCCGTTGGCTTGAATGAGGAGAACCTCACAGTGCTGACCAGAGTTGTGCAGGCCGCCTCCGCCCACCTTTTGCCGCTCTTGCTAGCAGGAGCTTTCAACGTGTGCCCGTCCAAAGTGATCGAAACGGAGTTCCCGACCAGGGCTGGGGTCCAGGTGATCGTTCCAGACACGCACACATTGTACACTAAGAAGTCAAAGACAATTATAGATTATTTCATGGGGTCGTACTGTTTCGAGCACTTCTTGAAGCAACCCAAAGTTCTAGTTGACTACCCGAGTAGTCCACATAGGCCAGTCGTGTTGGATATGGTGATTGGGGCCCCATATCTCATTCCCGTCCTGGAGCAGCCTCAGTTCATCCCACTGGTCGCCCCTGTGGGTCCTCGCAACATGGTCCCACCGTGGTCTCGAAGTCTTGGGGCTCTGGATTGTCTGGAGGGACTTCTTGAGGAACGCGATCAATATGCCGTGTTTGGGGACACGGGGCAGTGCTTTCCTCTTCAGCCAGTTTCGTTCGATGCCTTAGTTGCTGCCGTGGACGCGGCGTATGGCTACCTAGTGGACGACATGTCCACCACGCTCAGTATCGTTACCGACACGCCGCTCAAAAGTAAGAGGCGCCGAGCTCAGGTGCCAACGATAAGATGGATACCCGCCAAGGCTGTCGAGGCCAAGGATAGGAGGAGTTGGAGGAATGCAGCAGCTACTTTTAGATGGTTAAGGAACAAAGTTACCAACATCAGGAGGGGAGTGGAGGAACAGGACCTCGAGGAGCTCCACCAGGCTCAGCTCGACCTCGCCTCACCTCCTGCTGATTTGGAAGTAGTCGCAGAGTTTGAAGCTTTAAGAACCAGTGTACGCACGTGTATTCAGGCTACCCTTTTGGATGCCGCCCACAGTGAGCCCAACTTCGAGCTCATCGCCACCGTTTTCGAAGATCTGGACTCGGAGATTTCAAAAGCTTTGGACCGTGAAATCGCCAGGGACCGCTCCGACGACCGTCAATCCTGGAAACTTTGGGTCACAGAAGCCATGGGGAAAGGTGTTGGGTGGGCCCACAGATGGAGTAGTAGACTGACGGCTTGGCAGCCCTCAAGAGTCTGGAGTTCTGCTAAAGCCCGCTGGTCTGGTCGTCCGATTGATATGTTGGAGGCGGAACAGCAACGTTCAAGTAAGCTGTGGCGAGCTCGACCTGAGGAGCCTGCCCTTCTTCAAGCCGAATTGCGAGGTGAGGACCTTGCAGACATTTCAGCAGATCAGCTGCGCGCAGCCAGCCGCAAATTCAGTAGCACCACTGCTAGGACCTGGGACGGGATCCACCCTAGACACTTCAGCCTCCTCGAGGACGCCCAGCTGGCTATTGTGTGTAGGCCCCTTAGGTCCATCGAGAGGATAGGGGCCTTTCCGACGCAGATACGAGCCATCGTGACGGTTCTGATCGAAAAGCACAAACCAGGTCCTAACCCAGGTCCTAGCTACAGGGGTATAGGTATGATGCCTGGTCTTTGGAGAGTTTGGGGCAAGCATCGTCAGCTCGAGTTTCGTGCCTGGGAACGCGCTCACCCTCGTAGATATCTAGCTCATCAAGCTGGCAAAGGTGTTTTGGAAGTTGTTTTCGAACAAGCAATGCAAGCAGAAGGGCAATTCTTGGGAGATAAGAAAGTTTTCTCAGCTGCTGTTCTTTGGGATTTATCCAATTACTATGAATATGTGGATAGGGGACTCTGGAGGGACAGAGCTCAGGATACCAATTTCTCGGATTCCCTGGTAGTCATTATTTGCAACCAGTACCAGGCGCCCAGGACAGTAGCCACGAGATCCTCAGCCCTACCTGCAGGTTGCCCAGAGAGAGGTATAGCTGCAGGCTGCTGGGCCGCCACTTTTGTTGTACAGCAGTACTGCCTGCCGCCCATCGACATCTGGGTGGCGCAGAACCCCAGAGTGCAGCCTACCATTTTCATTGGCGATTTCCTGCTTGCCAGCCACAACAGCAAGCCGAACAAACTGATAGCAGATCTAGTCACGGCCTCAGCCAGTATGCATCAGTCGATCGTTGTCGATCTTAAGTGTGATTTCGCTAAGCACAAGGCTGCTGTCGTGGCTTCGACGCCGATGATCAAGGCCGATCTTGCGGCCAAGCTCGGCCAGTGGGCTGGCCCCCAGGCTGGTCTGGCCGAGACGGCAGCCACTAACTTAGGAGTCGACTTCACTGCAGGAGCCAGACTAAGGAGCAAGGGAAGGAAAGCCTTAAAAGGAAGAGCCTGCAAGTTGAAGTTGAGACTTCGTCGCCTGCGCGCCCTTCGTGCTGCTGGAGCTGACACCCGTAAGGTTTGGAATACGGGACTCCAGCAAGCTGGTTATTTTGGGACTGAAGTTCTTGGGATGTCTGTGCAGGAGCTCCAGGAGGCTCAATCGCTGTTCTTGAAGGTTGCTGGGCCCAAGTGTGCTACGCGTTCTCGGGCCTTGTCGCTCGCTATCCTGGAGGACCCTACCTGGAGATCCGCCCTGGGGCCATGCATGTACTGGAGCATCATAGTCTTCCGAGCCGCCCAAGACCCTAGGAAATCAGAATTCACCCTGCCCGAACTCCGACAAATGGCGGCCAATATCCTGGACAAGCCACCCTCGGGATGGGGAAACATACGAGGTCCTCTTGGGGCGGTGTATTTAAGTCTACCTAGAGTTGGCTGGTCATGGACCAGCCCCATGGAGTTCATGAGTGGGGGGGGCGAGGTCTACCCGCTCACCACCAGTTCGCCAGCGCTCATTCGTCAGATGCTGGAGGCAGCTTGGCACGACAGGCAGGCGGAGCAGGCGGCCATCAAGATAGGAGTGCCAGCAATTGATTTGTCACACGCCAAAGCAGCAGTTGCGGATAAAAGATTATCTAAGCAAGATCGAAGTGTTCTCGTCTCGTACCTGACCCAGTCGATATGGACCAAGTGTAGACTCAAGGAAGCAGGTTACGACATTGACACCACGTGCATATGCGGGGCCCCCCAGGACCACATATTCCACCGCCTTCTGGAGTGCCCCAATTGTGCTCAGCTAAGGGAGGACTTTCTTGAGGAAGGAGATGTGGAAGCCCTGAAGGACCCAGCAGCCTTTGCCACGTGTGCGGGTTTTCCCGAGCCGCCCCCTTTCAAGGTCCCGCGGCCCGTAGGTTTAGGTTTGAATGAAGCTGTGTTTTGGTCCCGTGATGGCCGTCAACCCGAGGAAGTTTTCGTCGGCGAGGTTTACGTCGACGGCAGCGTGGCCAAAATGGGCCACGCTTGGTTTCACGCCCCAGGCTGGGCTATGGTTAAATGTGACCCCCATGGGGAAATAGAAGCCTACCTGTGTGGGCCAGTAGGCAGCGCGCTTCCACCCACCTCCCCAGCGGCAGAATTCCTCGCGTACCTAGCCAGCAGCCAGTTCAGAGGAGTAACTAAGATCTACTCCGACTTTAAGGGAGTCGTGGCCTTCCACAATTCGGGACTCCCTGCCAGTAGGAAGAATATATATGACGGGATTGGTGCTATGGCCAAGCTTGGAGAAACCAGCCGCGACGGGGGTTTCGAAGTAGCCAAGGTCAAAGCCCATCAAGATGCAGATTCCCTCGAGCGCTACTCTGAAGAGTGGCGCCACGCCTTGGGAAACGATGCAGCCGACAGAGTCGCCAAATTAGCTGCCTCTCGCCTCCCCCAGCCCTCGGCCAACGAGCGTGAGGCCCAGCAACTGCTCGACCAGCGAGTTCGAAGGTTCCTTCGGTTTGTGCCGAAGGCCCTAGTGCTGTGGCCACCAATTGCGCCGAGGGTTGGGGGAAAGGCCCTGGAGGGGCCTGTGAAGGCCACCAACCTCGTTGTCGGAGCTGGCTCAATCGCGGAAGTGTGGCAAGGCGGAGCTAACTCAGGGGGCTCCTCGGGCTCTGGAGCTGCGGCGGCTCCTCCCCCTCCCCGCCCCCTTCGGGCCGCCCGTGCTCGCGTCGGGCACGTCTGGGCGTGGCAGAAGAATCGTTGGCTCTGCTGCGTCTGCCACTCGCGTTGCCGCTCAGACAAAGTAAAGGTTTCACGCGATAAGGAAAGGTGCCCAGGCAATGCTGCTAGACTAGCTAAGCTAGGCATGCAGCCCAATGGACACAAGCTTTTTGTTTACGACAGTTTTGTTGACGAGAGTTTTATTGTTGCATGTCACCTGTGCGGCAGTTATTCAGAGTGTACTGTGAAGAGCCTCCAGAAGAGTTGTCTCAGGAAATTCAAGTCACACTTTTCAGAAGGCGCCCATGCGCGCCTCCAGGAGGGGAGACATCCACGGGCCTCTAAGACGAGTCCCATTGTCTTCATGCCTCCGATTTCAATCGATGCGGTTGCCACCCAGGCAGCCCAGGCGCTCGAGTCGCAGTAAGCGAAGTCGAACCCCTTCCGAAGCCGTGCGATGGTCCTCCTCCTCCTCCTCCTCCTCCTCCTCCTCCTCCTCCTGTTCCTGTTCCTCCTCCTCCTCCTCCTCCTCCTCCTCCTCCTCCTCCTCCTCCTCCTCCTCCTGCGCGCCCCCTGGCGTCACCCGCGGCGGGCAGCGCGCCACGCCCCCCCCTAGCCCGCGGCGGTGGGCGAGAGCTCGAGCGGCGGCAGCCGCGTGCCCGCCGACGCTGGGCGCGGGACTGCGTAGTGCCCGTTGAGGAACCTTTCGGCGGCCGGGAGTAAGACGAATGCAGAAGTTGTGCAGGGACCGACCGTCCTGGCATTCCTGTAACCACCAAATTTCCTCAGAACCCAGAAATGATCGAAACACCAAAACAATGTTCTCAGAAAACCCGATGTGCTAAAAAAGGCAGTCCCAGCCTGAAATGGTCTAAGAACATCTGGTGCAGACCACCAAAAGTTCGTAGAATATTATTCGGTTGGCCCATAGGCGAGCCAGGAGCCTTCGCCAATGCTTGAAATATCGAAACAAACTCGAAGAGATGTAGACAGGAAGTCTCTGAGACTCCGCGGGTCTGGGGAGGGGGCACGGCCGTCTCGGAGCGTTCACGGACGCTCCGAGAGCGTTCCAGAAAGCTCTGGAACGGACTTGGCATCGTCCTAGCCCCGTCCCCAAACCCCCGACGTCGTGATTTTTTCACCTCGTCGACCCCCAGAGGTCTGGACCCCTTCCCGGGGACCGGTTTTTCTTCCTGAATCGTTTCTTGGCGGTCCCGAGGCCCAGTGAGGGCCCCAGGAGGCCGAAAATAACGAGAAACCTCCCGTCGTGATTTTTGTTCGCAACGCAAGGATTCTGGGTCCGATGCGCCGCCGTTCTTGGACCCCAGAAGGCCGGCTCGGGGCCTCGGGGTCGTAAACAGAGAGGGCGGCCAGCTCTAGAACTCTGCACCTCCGCCGCCGCTGGACAGGCCCCTCCTGGACGCCCAACAGCGGCGTATACGCTCCCCTGGCTTAGCCACGAGGCTTGTCCAGGCTCTATGGGGCGCACAGCGACATACTAGAAGTCTACGTTATCCTTGGATGCGCGCGTCCGATCCGAGCAGACAGTATGCTCACCTTGTAGTAGATCGATTCCCGGGCGGCGCGGCCCGAAAGCGCCCGCCAAGACGCATGTTCTACAAGCTTTCTCGGTGCGCGCGTCGCCCCTGAAAAGGCGATGCACACATAGTGTTGGTATGTTGGGGTGACGCCTTCGGTGACAACTCATGGGAGCCTTCCATACCATCTTGCCGGCTCTTGCGAACCGACTCAAATCGACGTTAGTCGACGCTAACCGACGCTAAACCGACGCTCGTCGACGCGAACCGACGCTAAGTCGGCGCTCCCCCATCGACTCCCAGACGCGCATCGACGCTAGCCTTAGGTCCGGCGTGTCCCACTACAGGCGGATTCTGGACGGAAAAATTCAACATACTCAAAAAAGAATCGAGCATACTCGCAAAAGCGTCGCAAGACTATGTTCCTACTGTTTCTGAATATTCCTCCTGCAGAGGGACAGGCCCGACTTAACGCTAGCCGACGCCGAGGACGGAACTGCGAGGGCAGGCAGGGCCCCCGTGATCTGCGACCGAACGAGTACGTTGGGGCGACGCCGGCCCCAGGCCCGTCCACGCCCGGCGCGGAGCGGCGGCCAGAGCCGAGCAGCACGCACCCCACACCCAAAGGTGGGACGGAGGGGGCCTACGGGCGCGTCTTGTCGGATGGGGGTCCCCGCTCGCAGGGGCCGGACAACCCGCACCCATACCCACAGCCCGTCCTCCCTCCAGCGTCCCCCCCACGGGTATGGGCGTGTGTCGTGCGCTCGTCACGTGCGGCGGGGGGCAGCTCCAGAGGGCGCGAGGGGCGCACAGGCGAGAGGCCGGAGAGATGAGCCCGGCATCGCCTCCGCGAGGCAGTGCCACGCCGCGCGGAATGGCAGGAGCGACGCTGGAGGAGAACAACAAAACTATCCTGGCGAGAGACCCCACCATGCGCAACTGTGAATACCGCGTTGTGGGTACCGCTTTCGGTGAGGCTGCCTATGGGGCCACGAACCGTGTGAGGGGTGTGCCTAAATGGGTGGCGATCCCCGCATGCGGACCCTGCCGCTGGGGCCTTCGGTGGAGCTTCCTGTGGGGCCACGAACCGTTTGAGGGGTGCGCCGAAATCGGTGGCGGTCCCCGCATGCGGACCCTGCCACTGGGGCCTTCGGTGGGGCTCCCTCTTGGGCCACGAACCCTGTTGGGCTACGAACCTTGTGAGGGGTTACCAAAATGAATGGCGGTCCCCGCATGCGGACCCTGCCGCTGGAGCCTTCGGGGGAGCTCCCTGTGGGGCCACGAACCGTGTGAGAGGTGTGCCAAAATGGGTGGCGGTCCCCGCATGCGGACCCTGCCGCTGGGGCCTTCGATGAGGCTGCCTATGGGGCTACGAAACGTGTGAAGGGTGTGCCAAAATGGGTGGCGGTCCTCGCATGCGGACCCTGCCGCTGGGGCCTTCGGTGGAGCTCCCTGTGGGGCCACGAACCGTGTGAGGGGTGCGCCGAAATCGGTGGCGTTCCCCGCATGCGGACCCTGCCACTGGGGCCTTCGGAGTGGCTCCCTCTTGGGCCATGAACCCTGTTGGGCCACGAACCTTGTGAGGGGTTACCAAAGCAGTGGCGGTCCCCGCATGCAGACCCTGCCGCTGGGGCCTTCGGGGGAGCTCCCTGTTGTGCCACGAACCTTGTGAGGGGTTACCAAAATGAGTGGCGGTCCCCGCATGCGGACCCTGCGGCTGCGGCCTTCGGGGGAGCTCCCTGTGGGGCCACGAACCGTGTGAGGGTGTGCCAAAATGGGTGGCGGCCCCCGCATGCGGACCCTGCCACTGGGGCCTTCGGTGGGGCTCCCTGTGGGGTCACGAATCGTGTGCGCGGACCCTGTCGCTGGGGCCTTCGGTGGAGCTCCCTGTGGGGCCACGATCATCGTGAGCGGTGTGCCAAAATCGGTGGCGGTCCCCGCATACGGACCCTGCCACGTGGGCCTTCGGTGAGCCCCCTCTGGGGCCACGAACCGTGTGAGAGGTGTGTCAAAATGGGTGGCGGTCCCCGCATGCGGACCCTGCCACTGGGGCCTTCGGTGGAGCTCCCTGTGGGGCCACGAACCGTGTGAGGAATGTGCCAAAATGGGTGGCGGTCCCCGCATGCGGACCCTGCCGCTGGGGCCTTCGGTGGAGCTTCCCATGGGGCCACGAACCGTGTCAAGGGTGTGCAAATTTGGGTGGTGGCCCCCGCATGCAGACCCTGCCGCTGGGGCCTTCGGTGTGGCTCCCTCTGGGGCCACGAACCGTGTGAGGAATGTGCCAAAATGGGTGGCGGTCCCCGAATGCGGACCCTACCACTGGGGCCTTCGGTGGGGCTCCCTGTGGGGCCACGAACCGTTTGAGGGGTGTGCAAATTTGGGTGGTGGCCCCCGCATGCGGACCCTGCCGCTGGGGCCTTCGGTGGAGCTCCCTGTGGGGCCACGAACCGTGTGAGGGGTGTGCCTAAATGGGTGGCGGTCCCCGCATGAGGACCCTGCCGCTGGGGCCTTCAGTGGAGCTCCCTATGAGGCCACGAAGCGCTGCCCTGGGTGGCGTTGACGCATGCTGCCCGACGCGGATGGGAAGAGGGAGGAGGAGGAGGAGGAGGAGGAGGAGGAGGAGGAGGAGGAGGAGGAGGAGGAGGAGGAGGAGGAGTAGACGCGGGGCGTTGTCAGTTCAAAACGAGGACCCGACACCACAGGATGCTTGGGCAAAAGAGGGAGGGAGGGAGAGGAGAGAGGCGGGAGGGAGGGGCGGCGAGGAGAGCAGCGAGGAGGAGGGGAGGGAGGGGAGGGAGGGAGGAAAACGGAGGCGGCGAGGAGCAGCGAGCTTCGCGGCAGGCGCACCCCCGGCGGCCCGGGGGGGGGCCCGAGGCACGCCCTGCGCGAGCCCGAGCACGGGCCCCCTCTGCTGCCCATCGGCCTCTGGCGGCCTTCGGCGGTGCCCTGACGGGCTTCGACGTTCTGCGGCGGTCCTCTGTGGAGGGGCCCTGGGACACAGAAATGAATGCACACGAGTCAGAGGATGCCCCATCTTTTTCCCATGTTTTCTGGGTTTTCGTCTTCCCCCCCACTTCCCACAGTTTCCCATGTGTTCCTGGGGGTCGACGATGAATTGTGCCTGTGTGCTTCTGTCCCTCCCGAGAGAGCTGGGGGGCTGCGCTCCACGAGTGGCAGCAGAGATCTCCAACGCACTTGACAAGCCAGGGCAGAGGCGCTTCGCCGTGTTCGGCCTCCATGGGAGCCCTCCTCCGGCCCCCCTTTGGACCGCCGGAGGAAGCGGCCCCTGACGTGTGAAAGACCAGCCCCGGCGGGGAAAGGGCCGGGGCTGGCGGGGGCCCCGTCGTGAAACAGTCAAGACATCGGAGGTCTGGGCACACGAAGCCGCATGGTCGGCCACGGCGAACGCCCCGCTCCCCCCGCCCGAGAGATGCTGGAGCGTTGAGGCACCGAGCTCCGCCGAGTTTGTCAGCTCCGTGGCGGAACAGACGACGGAGAGTATATCGAGGCATGCTCGTTTAGACTCTCGCATGTGTGCTTGCATGAAGGGGGCGGGGAGGGGCTGCGGCGAGGCCCGCGAGGAGACCTGGACTTCACGCAAGTCGGGACTCACTTGCACGCTTTTTCGGTCCAGCGCCATTCGAAAGGCCAGCAGGGGGCGGGAGGGGGGCGGGGGGGGGAGGCAAATGCCACACAAGTGAACAAGCTAACACTCATAGCAAAAACGCGCTGACATCGAGCCCATCCAAGGAACCCTCACGCCCCCACACCATAAGAGCAATCACGGCGGCAATGTGTTTGAAATGTTTGGCCTTCCGGGGCTCCTGCCGAATCTTGGAGCCGTCAAGCATGAGCCTCGTTTATCTAACCCCCATCCCCAGCGGCGTGGCCTGGGCCCCACTGGCCGATTTACCCCCCTAGATAAGGATACAGGCCGCTCCCTTCGGGCTTCGAGGGGTGTATCCCCAACTGGGGTGGCAACTTGCTGGGGGCCTCGAAGGGGATGGGGATGGGGCTGGGCATCGGTGAGCCGCTACCGGGATTGGCGCTGCCCGGAGCCTGGAGGCCTGGCCGGGGCCGCTCGGCTCCGAGCCGCCCGCCTCCAGCGCCCCCGGGCGCGAGGCCGAGCCGGGACGCCAGCCGGCGAGGTAGGCGGGCCGCGGGGGCGCCTCGAGCACCAGCTCCTCCGAGGGCAGCGAGGAGGGGGGAGAGGGCTGGCCTGGGGAAGGGGGACCCTCCCAGACCTCCTCGCGTTGTGAAGAAATCGCGACGGGAGGTTTCTCGCTGTTTTCGGCCTCCGGGGGCCCCCACCTGGCCCAGGGACCGTCCAAAAAGGACTCCGGACGAAAAACGGGTCCCAGGGAAGGAGTCCAGACCTCTGGGGGTCGACGTTGCGAAAAAATCACGACGTCGGGCGTCTGGGATCGACCTGGAATCGGCGATACATCGCCGATAGATGGGTAATAGGCCCCCGATGGTGGGGCCATGGATGTGGGGCCATCGGGTCCATGTGGGTCGGGGCGCGCAAACATGGACTGGCGATCCATGGATGTGGCGCGCGGTCGCCAAATACATGGATCGGAGGGAGGTGCCCTCCCCAAAATGCGGCCAGGGCCGCCTCGCTCGGCGGCGGAAATCCACGATGTCCCATGGAAACGGGACCCGTCCCTAATACACGCCCCCTCCATCCATGTTTGCGATCGCCTGAGTTGGAGCCATCGGGCCCCTTCGGCGGTGGACAGGCCTCCCGTTAATAAACCTCCCTTTGAATGAACACGGCCTACGACCGAAACCGACGGACCTGGACCCGCAGAAATGACGGCCGCGGCGCCCTCGCGAACCGAAAACGGCCAACTCGCTGATCGACGTGCCAGGGTGGGGGTCCGTCGACCTCCGACCCCTGTGGGCGGTCTGTGGGCGAGGAGGAGGAGGAGGCGGAGGAGGAGGAGGCGGAGGAGGCGGAGGAGGCGGAGGAGGCGGAGGAGGCGGAGGAGGAGGAGGAGGCGGAGGAGGAGGCGGAGGAGGAGGAGTAGGAGGCGGAGGCGGAGGAGGGGGAGGAGGAGAGGGAGGGGGAGGGGAGGCGGAGGAGGAGGAGGCGGAGGAGGAGGAGGAGGCGGAGGAGGAGGAGGAGGAGGAGGGGGAGGAGGAGGCGGAGGAGGAGGGGGGAGGAGGAGGAGGAGGAGGAGGAGGAGGAGGAGGAGGAGGAGGAGGAGGAGGAGGAGGAAGATTGGGGGTCGCTGCATATCCCCCCCTGTGCCGATCCTCCCCCCCCGTGCCGTTGCCCCGGAGCTCCTCGGCCGCCCCGGGCTGCGGGGCGCCCCCGGTGAGCCTCTGTGGGGGGGGGGGGGCAGCTCTTCGTCTGCTGCTGCTCTGCTCCCCCAGTTTTGGGTCGACCGTGTCCTCCTGCAGGCGGATGTTGGATGCGAAATGCAGAAAAAATACACAAAAAGTCAAACACGGTCCCCCAGTTTTGGGTCGACCGTGTCCTCCTGCAGGCGGGTTTTGGATGAGAAATTCAAAAAACCAAACAAACAAATACAAAAAGTCAAACATGGTCCCCCAGTTTTGGGTCGGCCGTGTCCTCCCGCAGGCGGATGATGGATGAGAAATGCAAAAAAAACAAAAAAATACACAACAAGTCAAACACGGTCCCCCAGTTTTGGGTCGGCCGTGTTCTCCTGCATGCGGATGTTGGATGAGAAATGCACAAACAAACAGAAAAAAAATACACAACAAGTCAAACACGGTCCCCCAATTTTAGGTCAACCGTGTCCTCCTGCAGGCGGATGTTTGATGAGAAATGCAAAAAAAAAAGTCAAACACGGTCCCCCAATTTTGGGTCGACCGTGTCCTCCTGCAGGCGGATGTTGGATGAGAAATACAAGAAAAACGGAAGAAAAAAAAAATCAAACCCGGTTCCCCAGTTTTAGGTCAACCGTGTCCTCCTGCAGGCGGATTTTGGATGAGAAATTCAACAAAAGATACAAAAAGTCAAACATGGTCCCCCAGTGTTGGGTCGGCCGTGTCCTCCTGCAGGCGGATGTTGCACAAGAAATGCAAAAAAACAAAACAACAAAAAATACACAACAAGTCAAACACGGTACCCCAGTTTTAGGTCAACCGTGTCCTCCTGCAGGCGGATGTTGGATGAGAAATGAGAAAAAAAAAAAAACACAAAGTCAAACACGGTCCCCCAAATTTGGGTCGACCGTGTCCTCCTGCAGGCGGATGTTGGATGAGAGATTTAAAAGTCAAACACGGTCCCCCAGTTTTAGGTCGACCGTCTCCTCCTGCAGGCGGATGTTGGATGAGAAATCATATTTTTTAAACAAAAAAACAAGAAGTCAAACATGGTCCCCCAGTTTTGGGTCGGCCGTGTCCTCCTGCAGGCGGATGTTGGATGAGAAATGCAATAAAAACAAAATTAAAAAAAAACAAAAAAAATCAAACACGGTCCCCCAGTTTTGGGTCGGCCGCGTCCTCCTGCAGGCGGATGTTGGACGAGAAATGCACAGAAAAACAGAAAAATACACAACAAGTCGAACACGGTCCCCGAGTTTTAGGTCGACCGTGTCCTCCTGCAGGCGGATGTTGCACAAGAAATGCAAAAAAAAAGTCAAACACGGTCCCCCAATTTTGGGTCGACCGTGTCCTCCTGCAGGCGGATGTTGGATGAAAAATACCAAAAAATCAAACACGGTCCCCCAGTTTTAGGTCGACCGTGTCCTCCTGCAGGCGGATGTTGGATGAGAAATGCACAAAAACATGTGTGTATATATATATATAAAATGGTCCCCCGGTTTGGGTCGGCCGTGTCCTCCTGCAGGCGGATGCTGGATAAGAAATGCACAAGAGAAAATTAAAAAGATGCACACATAGTCAAACACGGTCCCAACAAAAATCGTCCTGGCCACATTGTTTCGCCTATGTTTGAATATTCCCCCTGTGGAGGGACACGCCCGACTCAACCCCAGTTCGCGCTGAGTTTGTCAGTTCGTGTTGGGCTCAGGCAGTCCAGCCGCGGCTGAAGCAGCTCGCGAGCACATGAGGCAGATATGCCTCCGCCCCGGTCCTCTTGGGAGACATCGTGTCTTTTGAGTATCACACCCTCGCCTGCCCGCAGCACAGGTGTGCAAACAATGGCACATCCAAACCTAACGTGACATGAATTTCAACAGCGGATTGCGTTGCAAGGCGCACGCGGGCGAAGTCACGCACCGCGGCCGCACGCTTGGACAGGGAGGGCGTGGCGCCGAACGCTCGCTTCCTGCAACTATCTTCGGCGGAGGGTTCAACAGGGCCGACAAACAAGATGACCGCCAACCAGTCGCTCCAGAAAAATTGGCAGGAATTTCGGGGAGTCTGGCAGGCACCTCAGATTTTTGTAGGCGTGGTTCTGGCCATGAGAATCTGCAACAGTCACACACTGCGCCTCGCCTGGCGCCTGCAATTTGTCTTGTGGGTGCCTCCGGGATTTTTGCAGGTGCTTTGTCAGCGCTTTTGTGTGTGCGTTTTTTGTTGGTGGGGCGTTTGTGTGAATGGTTTTCACGTGCCTCCTGTGGCCGCGCCGCGCATGAACGCGCGACCCAGCCACCGTGGGCACGTGAAAAGATCATGCTGCGAATTGTGCGCGCGTTGCGTGGTATCTGCAGGCGAACGGCTCTCGCTAAAGTCTGATTTCACATACGCACACCATACTTACACATGCAAACTTGTTTGGTTGACGGCCTTCGTTCCTGCGGCACGACAGGTTTACGCTGGGAACCTTTGCTCAGCGTGTCGCGGCGGCAGCCCCAGCGACACACTACTCCCTGCGAGTGGCTAGCGCGTCGCTCCGCTCGGCGGGGCGGGAGGCTGGGAAAGGATCCGAGCCTTGACGCCGGGAGGGGCGCGGGAAGTGGCTGGCGGGCCAGACCTGACGGAGCGACGCGCTGTCCAAAAAACCCGACCGCACTGCGGCCTAGCTGCGTGGAGGAATGGGGGGGGGACGTGGAGCGTGGCGAGGCCCGAGAGGAAGTCCGGCCTCCGCGCAAGTCGGGACTCGCTCGCGCGCCTGTTCCGCACAGCTCCTCCAGGAATGGCGGCGCAGGGGGGGGCCAGGGGGGGAAGCGAAGTGTCATGAAAGCGAGCTTGCCAGAATCTGAATAAGCACGCGCTCTTGGAGGAAGAAAGGAGCGTGCTGTTCTTTGGAGCCTGGCAAATCTACTTGCACGCGAATCCGTCCCCCCTCCCGCCACCTTCTGAGAAGGCCTTCTCCTTCTCACTTCCCCCCCCTCGCTCGCCGCCGAGTGCTTGTCCACCGAGGCCCTACAATACGATGCAAGCGGTGCAACGTTGGCCGAACCAGGCTGCATGCCATCCGTGGAGCTGGATAGGTAGAGGCTTGCTAGATGGGGTCCGAATGGATGGGGTCGGAAGATCTTGCCGCATCGCCGATACATCGGCGATGCATCGCCAATGCATCGCCGATGCATCGGCCATGCACTGGCGACGTCGGCGATACATCCGCGACTTCGGCGTTGAGCAAATTGGGCCTTTACATCGAGCCGCATGGCCGATGTGTCGGCGATGCATCGGCAATGTGGCGCGATCCTCCGACCGCACCTACTCCGACCCCATCTAGCAGGCCTAGAGTTTAAGTCGGGCCTGTCCCTCTACAGGAGGATAATTCAAATATAGTCGAAAAATTATCAGGGGATGAGTTTCCCCATATCCTAAGATGGGGTTCTTGTTATTTCTTGGACGCCGCCGACTTCTCCTCCTGTTCCTTCTCCACCCATCTCCTCCTCATACCTAGACTTACTCATACACAGACATACTCATACGCACACGTACCCATACTCAGACCTGATCATATTAACTTATTCATACTCAGGCCTACTCATACTCAGACTACTCATACTCAGACTTACTCATGCTGAGACTCACTCATACCCAGACTTACTCATACACAGACCTTCTCATTGTCTGTCTTACTCAACACACAGCAGATTGTGAGGATGTCTCGGGCGGGGCGCTGGTTTCAGCACCCCTAAGGGGAGCCGCAAAGGGGTATGACACGGTCCCATTCGCGGCCATTTTGTAGGGATGTCTCAGGCGGTTTGCCTGTTTTCTGTCCCAACATCCTTCGCTTGGAGAGCAGATTGTGAGGATGTTTCAGGCGGGGCGCTGGTTTCAGCACACCTAAAGGGAGCCGCCAAGGGGTATGACACGGTCCCGTTCGCGACCGTTTTGTGGGGACGTCTCCAGCGGTTTGCTTGTTTTCTGTCCCAACATCCTTCGCTTGGAAAGCAGATTGTGAGGATGTCTCCGGTGGGGCGCTGGATTCAGCACCCCTAAGGGGAGCCGCCGAAGGGTTTTGTGGGGATGCCTCAAGCGGTTTGCCTGTGTTCTGTCCCAACATCATTCGCTTGGAGAACAGATTGTGAGGATGTTTCAGGCGGGGCGCTGGTTTCAGCACCCCTCAGGGGAGCCGCCAAGGGTGTTTTACGGCAAGACATGTTCACCATACCACTGCCCGACAATATGAGATGCACATCTGACTCATATGGCTAGACGCTCATTTAGAGATCCCAAATACAATATTACCGTTTAAGGAGGATGCACATATGGGGAGCTCCACACAGTGAGTAATTCAAGTATGTTTGAGCATTTGGGAATATATTGGGGTATTTTTGATTTCTCGTCCAACATCCCCCTGTGGGGGGACAGGCCCAACCTAAGCCTAGAGCCCTGGGGATCAACGACCCATCTGTCCCGACCGCACCTGGGAGGCCCAGAGACCCGAGTGGAGTCGAGATCTCCTCTCGGGCCTCGCCACGCGTGGCCCTCCCCGCCCCCCCCCCGTGCACGTGTGGCACCCCCGGTGGGCGTCTTCGGCAAACCAGAAAAAACACAACCCCGATCCGGGCGACGTCAAACATGAGCGGCTTGTGCTTCAGGTTCAGCCCCCTCCCCCCCCGTCCGTGCAAGTAACCTTGCCAACCTCCAAAAACAAAAAAACAGGCTCCATCGCGACGGCGGGCTCTTCTCGCACCCCTGAGATCCCGGCGCCGCAGCCCTCGGCTACACGCAGGATCGACCCCAGACAAGGGTGACCTACCTGTGGTGCGCGACCTGGGCGGCCAAACCTGGGCGCGCAGGCCGCTGCTATTGCTTCGCGCTCGGCGGTCGTGGGGCCGTGGGGCCCAACTGGGCCCGCACCGAAAGCTACTCAAGCGAAAGGTCACTCGTACGTCTAGTCGAAGCCTTTTGCGCAACGGGCGGTTTCGCCGGGCTTCGATCACGGCACTGTCGCAGATCGATCCAACTCGAGAAATGCAGCAGAAAGATGTGGTC